TTCCCATACAAGTTTCCCAACGATTTCCGGTCACTCCAGTGAGACTTGTGACGATATGGGTCCATAACGAAAAGCATTTTGAATCCTTTGAAAGTTTTTCTATATTTTTCTATCACATTTCTTTCCACTAAGTTTTGCAATTCATGCCCAGGAAAAATTTGGCCGTGTACGGGGATTTCATAATCTGAAAAGTTTATTGTTGCGCACACCGCGTATCATTATAATGCCGATGCTGAGTTTTACACGAAAAGCAATAATAGCCCGAATAATTTTAAGAAAAGGAAGAAAAATTAGATGGGACACTCTTCAGAGAGGACCGATCTTCTTCGGACTCTATGCGTCTGCTTTCTCACTGCATAAATGAAATTGGGAATGACAAGGACATTGATAAAATTATTCTTTGTTTTTTTCCAGTCCCGACGACGACGAAGTCAGCCAACTGCCTCGCCGACTACCCGCGGATCGAGAACGCAGAGGAGTCCTTCGAGGGATGGACGGGCGAGCATCCGGCACCAGTCGACGGGAAGGTGGTCTTCACGTGCAGGCACGGATTCGGCGACGGAGCCGCCACGCACGCGGCGACCTGTGCCTCCAGTCCCGAGGGACACCCGGATGCCTGGAGGACGACCTTCGCGGAAGACGAAGGGGCTGCTCTCTGTCTGCCTTCATGTAAGAATGACTTCTCCATGCGCATAAGAGGATGCGAGGAAGTGAGGACGATGCTTGAGATCCAACCTTGCAAAGAAGTCACTGGTGATTGACAAGTAATTTACATTGAAATTCCCGGTCATGGTGGGATCTTACAGGCTTTTGACAATCTATGTTGGAAATGACAGGAATTTCACCTCGCACCATTCTCTCTTTCTCTCGAAGGGGCTAAACGGCAGATGACTGCTGTGTAAATTCCATGGGAATGACGGGGGGACATGGAATCGCCATGGCAATTACAGGCTCGGGTCCGGTAAGACATTGTGCGCGTCAGTCGGGCTAGAGTCGATGACCCTGCCATGCCGAGGGTCAAAGTGGCTCGTCGCATCTTCCAAAATGTTCGTGCCAAATCTGACTGGAAGTTAGGGTTAGGGCTGCCTACTGTGTTATAAGACTGTGCAAATGAAGAGGTGATCGAGCGTTAACCTCGGTCTCGGTCTATGGCAGGCAATGCACACTTCCAGCTCGCATCTATTCTTCATGGTCATATCACAGGCCTCGGTCTATGTCTTTCATCTTCCTGGTCCCATCGATATACTTAGGTTTCAGACTTGTCATAAACTCTGCAAACCATAAATTTCTGCAAAGGAACGTCTACTCGCACAAACCACTCCCATTTAACAGAAATGCAGTATATTCAAGGGAATATTTTATTCCTTCCAGAGACCAAAGTAGCATCTTCCCTTAGAGCTGTCAGAATCACATAACTATTTCATGTTACTCCTACATAATTGTTTTTTTTTTTCCAGTACCAAAGACAAAGAAGTCAGCCAAGTGCCTAGCCGACTACCCGCGTATGAAGAACGCTGAGGTGTCCTTCGAGGGCTGGACGGGCGAGCACCCTGCATCAGTCGGCGCGAAGGTGGTCTTCACGTGCAAGCACGGATTCGGCGACGGAACCAACACGCACACGGCCACCTGTTCCTACAATCCCTGGGGACTCCCGGAGGGCTGGACGACGACATTCACCGAAGAGGAAGGGGCAGTCCTCTGTCCGCATTCATGTGAGAATGACTCTGACCTCCGCGTGCATGAAGGATGCGAAAGCGAGAGGACGACGCTCGAGTTCCATACCCTAATGTTTCTCTTGAGCTGCGGGGTTTCCGAAGTTAGCTACTGACGACTGATGACGTTGTACTTTTTTCCGTTTCCCAAGAATGAGCTCTCTCCTTTTCCCAGGAAAATTAAGGTGAAATTTCACCCCAAGAAAAATGCAGTCGATCTTAAGGAATTTTGCTCCGTGAATTGAGGACATGATCTCTCAGCAGTATTTGGCGTAGATCAATGATTCAATGTAGATCCTTTGAAATATAACGAGGAAAGACTCTCAGCGGCAATCCGGTATGTGGCACGAACTTGTCCACATAGGCTTGGAAGACTTCTCCCCGTCAATTTTGGCCGTTCTCATTGCTTGAGCCGGAGATGCCTCATTCCCTCCGTTTCCTCTGAAAGGGAGCAAAGGTTTCCCATTTCCGGATTCGCGATTGGATTCATAATCTGTAAAAAATATATGCACGACCTATACGAAACTGAAGCTGACAACATGATGATAACGTGTTATCCTGTTGTCGATTCGGAGACCGCAGAGTCAAGACCGAAATTAGAAATGGCTGCTGTAGACTGGACATAGAAATGGTGCTATTTCTGCAAATCAGTCTAGTTTTGATAATTAAAATATACTTGTATCATTTTTCTCTAATGCTGTGTGATACACAGATTGCAATTACAGGCACTAATAATTTAAAAAAAGAAATGAAAATAAAAATGAAAATAAATAAAAAATAAAAAAACACATGAGAATCTTTTCAGAGAGAGAACCCATCTTCATTTGACTCTATGGGTCTTCTTTCTCAATTCCTACACGATGCTGAGAGTGATATGTACCATGGACATAATTGCTTTTTTTTCCCAGTCCCAACGACGACGAAGTCAGCCAATTGCCTGGCCGACTATCCGCGGATCGAGAACGCGGAGGAGTCCTTCGAGGGATGGACGGGCGAGCACCCGGCACCAGACGGCGGGAAGGTGGTCTTCACGTGCAGGCACGGATTCGCCGACGGATCTGACACGCACTCGGCGACCTGTGCCTCCAGTCCCGAGAGGTTCCTGGAGGCCTGGAGCACGACGTTTCCGGAAGACCAAGTGGCTGTACTCTGTCCGCCTTCACGTGAGAATGACTTCGAACTCCGCGTGCATGAAGGATGCAGGGCGGGGAGGACGATGCTTCAGATCCATACCCTTATGCGCCGCTTTAAGCGGCAGGGTTTCAGAAGCTGACCGCTGTCGGCTGGTGACGGCGTACTTGTTCCGTTTCCCAAGAATGGGCATTCTCCGTTTCGCATGAGAATTAAGACGATGTCCCACCCCAAGGAAAATGCGTTCAATCTGAACGCGATAGGCTCCATAGATTGAGGACACGACCAGTAATTTCTCAACAATATTCGGTGTAGATCGATGGCATAGGAGATTGCATGCATTTTGTGAATTCCTTTGAACAATAATGGGGAAAACCTCTCAGCCACGATCCGAAATATGGAACGAACTTGATCACATCGACTAAGAGGAGTCTCGGCGGTCGTGACCTCGCGATGTCATGACCTCATACTTCTGCCACCTTGTTCCTTGGTCCAAGTCGCGTAGCAGGCTTCTCCCCATCGCCAGTAGACGTTTTCATTACTTGAGGCGGATTTGCCTTATTCCTTTTTCCATGAAAGAGTGAAAAAAAAGTTTCCCACACGCCCGAAGATTTACGATCGCTCCAGTGAGACTTGTGAGGGTACTTGTGAGGGTACTTGTGAGGGTACTTGTGAGGTGAGGGTATCAGTCCACCAGTTGGTACCCGCGAAACATTTAAATCTTCGTATTTTACTTTAATCGACCTGAGTCCCATAGCATATAAATGATCCGCGCAGCTGGAATCATCAGCAGCAATATTTCGGAAAAATGATGTCGCGGATGTCCAGTCATTCCCCAAACCCCCGAATTTCCCCATTTGCAAAATTTCCGCTGGCTCGGTTCGACAGTATTCCAACGGGCCACGCAATACGAATTTGGAAGTACTGTGCATCAGATGAAAGAGAGGAGATTCTTCCCACCCTCAGAGATCCCCTATCGATCTTTCTCCCTGTTTGAGGTGAGTTCTGCTTGGAGGATTCTTGGAATAACGTTCGAGTTTCAAACTGCTATTCTTCGCATCGATAAGGGGATGCGCGACGTCATCAGGGAACCTTCGAGTGGAGGCATTTAAATTTTCAGCGAGTTCCGCCTCGTAGCATTCAAGTGAGACGAGTCGTTCTTATTTCGAACACCTGGGTATTGGATGAGGTACGATTCTGGTCTGAATGAGTTTCAGCTTTATTGGTCCGACCCGACCGACCCGACCGACCCGGCCGACCCGACTGACCCGACCGACCCGACCGACCCGACCGATCCGACCGATCCGACCGATCCGACCGATCCGACCGATCCGACCGATCCGACCGACCCGACCGATCCGACCGATCCGACCGACTCGACCGATCCGACCGATCCGACCGACCCGACCGATCCGACCGACCAGATCGGGCCATCCGCTCGGTTGCCAATCGAGATTCCTGTTGGGTGCAGGAGAATACGCTCTCGAAGGGACCTTTTTCTCCAGCCGCTTACAGCTTAGAGCTTACAGCTTACAGCCTCTTACAGCTGCTGGCGAAAACCTCGTTCTGTTACCACTTGACGCGATCACGTACTTAAATGACGTCACCCTCATGCAAGCAGGTGTGATAAACTATAAGAGCACTCAACAGGCCATCCCGAATGTGACGTCACAGGATCGCTGGAAGCGTCAGCAGAGCCGCTTATAGAAAGAACAAAACCAGGGACCCCGAGTTACGAAGTTCAGAGTCCCACCGTGCTCCAAGCCGATCGGTCCGACACGACCCTCGAATGTCGGTCCGGCGATTGATTTCCGGGTCGGGTTGGACCGGTTGGACCACGATTGGAATCGGACCGATCGGATCGGGTTTCAAAAAGTCTGCCCGTGCAGGCCTCCGGCGGACAGGCAGGACAGGACGACGTCGGCTGTTGTTATGTAGATAACGAGAAGCAGAGGGAAGCATTTGAACGCACTCTATCTTCAGTCACTCTTTAATAGTTTCGATTGGATTGTTAGCGGAATTCTCAGCACTCTCCCTCCGTTACACGTGCTTGGGATCACTTTACTCGGAGAGCGACGATGCACATGTTCGACATCGTGTTGGCCTGTCTGAAATGGAGTGACTTTGTGGCAAGGCTGATGATGAAACTGTACTTCAATGCGTCAGAATAGGTGATACCGCTGAATGAGATGTTTAAAACAAATTGCTTTTCGCTGAGCTTCCCATTGCCGTCTTTCAATGTTTGGTATACATTTGGTAAGCAGACTCCGTGGGTCTGCTTTCTCACTGCATATTTGATAAGAGTGATTTCTATAAACGACATAGACTTTACTTTTTTTTCCCAGTCCCGACGACGAAGAAATCAGGGAAGTGTCTCGACGACTACTCGCGGATCGAGAACGCAGAGGAGTCCTTCGAGGGATGGACGGGAGAGCATCCGGCGCCTGTGGGCGCGAAGGTGGTCTTCAAGTGCAAGCAAGGTTTCGCCGACGGGTCCAACATGCACGCGGCCATCTGTTCCTCGAATGCCTGGGGGTTCCCGGAGTCCTGGGCGGCGACATTCACGGAAGAGGAAGGGGCTGTCCTCTGTCCGCCTTCATGTGAGAATGGCTCTGACCTGCGCGTGCATGAAGGATGCGAGGGAGGGAGGACGGCGCTCGAGTTCCATACCCTAATATACCGCTTTGAGCTGCGAGGTTTCAGTAATTTGCTACTGACGGCTGATGACGGCGTTCTTTTTTTTTCCCCGAGAATGAGCATTTTTCTTTTCGCCGGAGAATTAAGGAGAAATTCTACCCCAAGGGAAATGCGGTCAACACGAAAGCGATACGCTCGATTGAAGACACGGCCAATAGTCACTCAGGAAAATTTGGTCTAGATCGATTTCATAGAAGAGAAGATTGAATACTTTTTTGAGAACTCCTTTGGAATACGAGGGCGTTTCAAGTGAAACCCAGAAAAACGCCTTTTTTTCCGGGAACAGTGCCATATTTTCGAAGTTGGATTCATTCTCCGCAAAGAAAAAGGTGAACTGCACGAAACTGAAGCCGACGACCTGTTGATCACGTGTTGGCCTGTCGTCAATTCTGTGTGAGCAGGTCAAACGAGAGTCGGAGGCCGAAATTTGACTTGGCTGCTCCAGCCTGAAAATTGAAATCGGGGCCTTTCGTGTCATGGAATCTAGTTTTGATTCCTAAACTTTTGCCTAAATACGTCAAAATAAGTGAAACTGACTAACGAAGTATCTAAGATTTCACCAGGATCCAATAAGGCGTGCCTCACCCCACCGGTACCCTTATTGATGATGATGATTCTGCATTTTTCAATTTTCAATATTTTTTACTCGAACGTGAAATATCCATTGATTTCCTCGGCCGCTTTCAGGTTCCAGAGAAAATATTTGGAAATTTCGGGGATGGGGGACGCCGATGGAGTGCGACCGTGATTCAGTCATTTAAATTTCATTTAAATTCATTTCAATCAATTAAATTTCATTTAAATTTCATTTACATTCATTCATTTAAATTATTATTATTACATTATTATATTACATTCATTAAAATTTGTTCGTAGGTGAACTGGAGCCGAATAGTTACCCAGAATGCCGGTTGACGGCGAAGGGAAGGGAATACACTGGGACGCAACGGAAAACCGAAACCGGGAAGGAGTGCCTGAGATGGGACAGCAAGCCGTACGGAATTCCGCCGGATTTCTCTTCCGCAGACTACGACGAGCACTTCCCGAACCGGGACTCCTGGTCGCACGAGAACTTCTGCCGGAACCCGTCCGGGAAGGAGCGGCCCTGGTGCTTCGTCTCCGACCAGACGATCAAGTGGGAATACTGCGACATCCCCATGTGCGACGACAGGGGTGAGCTCCCGCCTCTCCCTTCCCGTTGCGACCATTGTGGGGGGGGATGCCTTTTCCTTTTGTAAAATGCTGACTTTCGCGGCATTGGATGCGTCACTAGCCCAGCGAGATACCAAAGAATATTTCCAGAGAACCTTCGATGACATCGGCGATATTTTCGGTGGTTTGAAGCATTGACGGAGGCTAACGGTTTCAATTAATTGCGAAAATGCGTTCTCGGCAGTATAAGAAATGTGGAGTCAGGCTCCGAGAAGGGGGATGTAATAGAAGGACGAAATCAGTTTCCTCACGAAGTTACTTTCATGCGGAAATTGAATTTTGAAAGGAAAGAAGTAGCCAGCGTCACTGAATGCCGTCCCGGCGTAGAGGGGGGAGGAAGGGAGGTCGATGACAGGGCATCTGAACGGATCCGCGTCTGCCTTCCACCAGACCCTCCGGAGTGCAAGGTGACCCAGCAGGGCGGCGAGTACATGGGGAGGAGGAGCGTCACCCTCTCCGGCCACCCGTGCCGGCCCTGGGCCGGCTCGATGCCTCGCGCGCAGCTGGAGCTCGCCTTCGCGGATGCGGATGCCATCGACGAGCGCCACAACTTCTGCCGGAATCCGGACGGGAAGGTCGCTCCGTGGTGTTACAGGGAGAACGGCGGCAACTCGTCGTGGGAGTTTTGCGACATCCCTTTCTGCAAAATACGAAATCCAGCGTGCCTTCAACCGCCAAAAGGTGAGTAGGACGCCTTTCCATGTAACCGCCGTTTGCCCGAGAACTCCGGATCCGGATATCGTCCGAAAACTTGAAACCTCGGAAGCTTCACATCTCAGTTTCGCCCGCGCGGTGACTTCGTCCGACTCAGTCCGACTTACCGTCGAAAAGGTCGCATCCGGAGTTCGACGGCGACCCGTCCACCAGCATCCACCTGTCTGAACGACCAGGTGGAGAGGAGGTGGATTTGGAACCAGGCTCGTCGGTCAAGTCCGGTTCTTTGACCGGATACTGGCCTGTTTCACATCACGGAGCAAAACCGCTTTCATGGTATCCATTGCCAATATTAAGCCTACTCAGAATTGATCGTTCATCGATGGAAAAAAAAAATTTGCTCGATAAGCGTTTGGAAACAAAGAAGATAAGTAAAAATTTCGCGTTGGTGGCTGCAAAACTCCAAGATATTTTCGATCCCACAAACGAGAGAGAGAAGCCTCACCCCTCACGCCTCACACCTCACACTTCACGCCTCACGCCTCACGCCTCAAGCCTCACCTGCGCTGTTTCTAGGGGTAGGAGCGCGATACGAGTATCCGGAATGCCGGCTGTCAGAAAGGGGGAAGGAATACGTGGGAACCACGGGCCAGACCGCGAACGGACGGCCCTGCCTCCGATGGGACTCCCAGCCGTACGGCATGCCCTGGGACTTCTTCAACCAGACGATTCCCTACGAGAAGCATTTCCTCGGGGGGAACCCGACGCCCCACGCGAATCACTGCCGGAACCCGGGCCTCCACCGGCGACGGCCCTGGTGCTTCGTCTCGGATCCTCACGTCCAGTGGGAGTACTGCGACATCCCCTTCTGCCACGACATAAGTGAGCTTTCCAAAGACTGTTTTCACATGCTGTTACTTTCTTCCTAGAGGAAACCGCGAAAACTGCGTCGTCCAGATTGCCGAGTAAATTTGGAGAACATTTTCTTTGAAGAAACGCAGGAAGATTTTTCGGCGAATCGGGTGAAAATCGGAAATTTCCAAAGTTTAAATTTAATCCTGGAGTCTTGACCTTTTTCCTTGAAGCCCATGCCGCCTCCTGGTTCGACTTCCCATCGGCCTTCGTGACGGTGAAATTTTTTTTTCTTTTCCTCATCCAAGAGCCGCCGGAGTGCAAGCAGACGGCGTCGGGCGGGGAATACGCCGGGAAGCGGAACGTGACGCTGCTGGGGTCGCCGTGCCAGCGGTGGCTCGCGGCCGAGGGGCAGGAGGCGTGGGGCCTGCTGTCGCAGTTCGCGGACGGGCTGGACGGGGGGCACGACTACTGCCGCGGGGTGGACGGGGGGTTCGGGCCGTGGTGCTACACGGGGGCGGGGGGGAGGTGGGAGTACTGCTACGTTCCGTTCTGTGCGACGCGGGAGGGAGAGCAGTGTCGGGTGAGGGTCGGCGGGGAGTGTGTCGGTGAGTGTCGTTCTTACGTGTCGTTCTTACGTGTCGTTCTTACGTGTCGTTCTTACGCGTCGTTCTTACGTGTCGTTGAAGACAATTTCGCATCCACTCCTTCGCAAGTTCAGTTGATCGCGGATGAGTTTGCGGAGATGAGAATTCCAGTCTCAAATTCGGCCAAAAATTCATTTTCGTTGCAGACCAGCAGGAATGCAAGAAGACGGAGAACGGGAAGGAATACATGGGGACTCTGAACACGACGGCCTCGGGTCGTCCGTGTCAGCCGTGGATGAGCCAGTACCCGAACCGCCACGAGATGGCCGACCGGTCGGAAGGTCAGTTCCCGGACGACCTGTACCCCTCGCACAACTTCTGCCGGAATCCGGACGCCCGGGACGGCGGCCCCTGGTGCCACAACGGGAGCGGACAGGACCCAGCCTGGGAATTCTGCGATGTTCCCAAGTGTTGAGGCTCCGGAAGCCACTTCTCTCCACCTCCCTCCACTCGGGTTGAACAGCACCTACCTCCACTGCGGGATGTTCGCATCTAATTTTTTTTTTCTTTCCTTTCCTGCGCGCTCGCCGCTGGCTGTCTCATTTTCTCTCTCTCTCTCATGTGTATTCTTATTCTTCGATTTGTAAATGTACAATTATTGATGGTGGGGTGTGTCTCGGAGTGACTTATAATAAATAATCCGGGGTGTAATTCGTAATTGAATGCACATGAGTCAATGAAGGAATAACTGGTATATTCACTGGTAATGAAGGTCACTTTTGTCGCATGAGCCAGTCTTGCGTTTCTCTCGTATCGCAGGCGTCCGACGTGCGTTCCCAGATGTGAAGCACCTGTGAAGCACCTGTGAAGTTACTCTTGGATAACCGATTTCTTTTTTATTCTTTTTTTTTCTGGTAATGACTCCTTGAGGCTTTGGAATAAAACGTGGGAGGATCCTGCAGCATTTCGATCCAAGGAACGTGGTCACCGCTCGTAACAGTCGAGGGCGTGACAACCATGCAGTGAGGGGAAATGCTCCCAAACACGTCAATTTATCGGTCTTATCAATGTTAGGACACTTCGTCGCATTTCTTCTGCGCGCGGACCACCATGCATTAATTACCCACTCATTAGCACAAGACTGATTTTAAAATAATGCATTCAGTTTACAGCGGCCAAAAATTTCTCGCAAAACGTTCGGTGAGAGCGACGCAGGAGGAACTGCCCCTGTGCCAAAGCCGATGCGGGCTGCAGTGCTGGATCCTGCCGCTAGATGGCAGGTGCAGGTCGCAGGAATTGCGGCCGTGCTCTTCGGCGGTTTTCGCAGATGGAAGGGAGTCTTCCCAGTAAGGCGGCGGGAAATGTTGCATTGAGATGAACGCAGCCTAATGAGGGTTGGGGGTCGGCAACCGTCATTTGGCTCTGTGTCATTTGGCTCATTCCTTCTCCCGTTCGCAAATTCTCGAGGGATGCATTCTCCGGCTAAGAATAAAGAATCGTCATGGATCACCCGATCATCGGTTCCGCCTGGCTTATTCATGGCTTATGGAGGTTTAAATCGAACTGGACGTGAGAGGCTCGCAGTTGGCCCTTTGCAGGACGTTTCCCCCCCCCCCCCCCCCTTTATAGTGAATGACGTTGCGAATACTCGGTTGAGCGTGAGGCATTGAGCGTGGGCGTGGGCGTGAAGCGTTTTTCGTGTCTTCGGTAATGAGACCGGTTATGTAGAAAGTCGCTTCACCGGCATCGATTTAACGGGAATTCCAGGCGAACGAGAGAGAGAAAAATTATTATTTGCATAGCATGCGATATTTTCCCCCGCATTTTCAACACCGCTTCCACGCATCTCGAGTTCCATCTCGAGTTCCATCTCCTCCTGCTATTTCATCCTGCTATTTAAGGTAACTTTAATTTGAATAATTCATGCAATTGCCTGCAATTTATTACTCGTGGCTGAGGTAAGCATATATGTTCATGAAAATACTTGTATACATTAAATTATCATTATACCAAAGATAATTATCGTAATCATTTTAAGAACTTCCGGACCGAAATTCGCACGTTGACAATTGAGCTTGAATTTTGCTCCAAATTTGGTGCATTTCGAGTTCCAATTTCGAGTTCCAATTTCGAGTTCCAATTTCGAGTTCCAATTTCGAGTTCCAATTTCGAGTTCCAATTTCGAGTTCCAATTTCGAGTTCCAATTTCGAGTTCCAATTTCGAGTTCCATTTCGAGTTCCAGAGCGATAAGGGCATTCAATCCATATTGACGGACATATGCACTTACCACAGGTGTCATATGCATGGGTAAGCTTTACCCCGCCTGACCGCATCTACAGGGTGTCACAAGTCTGGAATCATCGCAATTTTCGCAAGATCCGATCTGATGTCCATTATTTGTTGTGCAATTTCCCATGTAAACGTTTTTATTTATTTCAATACCCTTTATTTCAAACACACCTTTCACCCAAAACTAAAAAAAAAAGTATATATAAATATTTAAAAAATTCTTATTTGCAATCGTTCTTATGGGTCCGGACTTGCGAATCCCCCTGTACCTCCCATCGAGAAGGAGCCGACTCCGGCGAGGACGACACGGAAAGAGTCGCCGCCCGTCCTCGGGTTCACCGCCGCCGAGGGAAAGCCCCGGAATTGCCCTCGTCCTGAGACTCTCGCAGAAGGGTCTCGTGGATGAGCCTTCCGAGCGAAATCCGATCAATTATTAAGACATGATTTTGTATTCCTGCTATTTCCTCCTGCTTTTTCCTCCTGCTTTTTCCTCCTGTCATTTCCACTTCCTTCCTCTGTTCTCAAGGCTGGAAAGGGAACGTGGTCCTTGTACCTGCCGAGAGAGAAACGTCCTCCGTGCGACTCGGCGAACCGACGTTTCCGCCCGTCATCCGGGAGGTGGAGGGGCACTCGGGGGGCTAGGTGCCCCCGACTTTGACGTCGTTCTTGATTTCGCGCTTGAAGGCGTTTCGGCTCGGAATCCAGAATGAATCGATTGGCGGAGGAGTTGGCGTTCTCGGTGAGATCCGGGAGTTTCATCGCGCAACCCTGCTTGTCACTTTCACTTTCGAGCGAAAGGCGATTTTTCACTCTTCATAATTGGCGGGCTCGCGGCATTGCAGAAAGGTGCGAGGCCATTTTCGCACGGCCATTTTAGCAGCATCTGGAATTAGCTCGTTGCAGTTTGGGAACTTTTCCTGATGCGCTCCGCTTGCGTTGACTGGATGGTGGAGGTGGAGGCGGGAGTGAGGTCGGCGCGGGAAGTGCGAGGCGATTGGTCGCGGGGCTCTCCCGTTGCACCAATCGGGTGTCGAGTTTGGGGGGGGGGGGGGGTTGCCTCAAAGATGCCCGCGAAAATGCATTAATTTTTTTGCGGAATAAGTGCGATGTGCGATAAAATTAGATTCGAGGAAATGTAGTGCTTTCTTTCGCAGAATTACTTATTGAGGGGCGTATTTGACTACTGGCGCGACGGGGGACTGCTGGCGCAGGGAGTGACTGCTTGTACGTTTTATTTGCTTCATGTTGCTCCGCATAAATCATGAACTCTCCCGAGAAAGGCATTGCAGGCATGAATTGGCAGAATTTCGCAGGAAAAATGTCGGAATGTTTGCATTCCTGCGCGATTTTCAGGCGGCTGCGGGAAGAAAGCGTGAAGCTCTTGACGTGACGTGACGTGGGCGTAACGTTATGGCGTCGGCAGCGCGAGTTACCGCGCAAAACTCGGAATTACCTAATTACCTTCTGGTAGCTGCGTTGTCGCCGAAATTCGCGGCGAAACTCCACAAAATATTCAGGAAAAAAATTTTTTTTTTTCCTTCCAATCGACGATCGGGGATAATCCCCTTAATCGAATCCCCTTAATCGCCGGATCCGGAGGGCAAATCTGGAAACCGGCTCGCGACCGACTCGCGGTATTGCCGGATCCCCATTTATAGACCGGACCCCTACGGGTCAAATGACTCATTCCCTCTCCCAGGAATGAGACATGCCCTCTCATGCCTTCATTAGTCACCGTCTAGCGAAGAAAATTTTTTTTTTCCTTTCATTTATTTTATTCTTTTTTTCTTATTTATTTTTAATTAATTAATTCATTTATTTCTTATTTATTTTTCTTGCTGTCTTTTTGCTTTGTTTACCTTTAAAATATATTTCATTTTATATTCATCTTTCCTAATGAATTTAATTTTTAATTTTAGTTTTTCTTTCATTATTTCTGTTTATTTTTGTTCAGTTATGTTTATTAATTTCTTGCAAGTCCTTCATATATATTTAGTAATTAAAACGTTCGTTCATTTTATTTATATTTATTTATATTTATTATCTTGAGGATGACTCAAGGATAAATCACGGCGCCAAAGAGCGAAGAAAAAAAAAGAAATGTTTCTTCACCCCGCCTCTAGGAATGATGATGCCTCCAGGCATCATCATTCCTGTAAAAGAAAAAAAAAGCCTGTAAAAGGCCGTGCTCCGTGCCGGCTCTTCCCTCTTCTTCGGCAGTTTCGCAGTTTACGACCTTGGGAAGAGCACTGCCGTATTTTATTCAAATGGTGTTTGGTGAGAGCACATTTAATTCGTTTTAAATACCGATCTCAAGTGCCAGAATAATTACCTGAAGCATTTTAAATGCTTAAAAAAATACTTCCCGCCGAAGAGATTAAATATTTGAGCAGCACTGATCGTTATGCAATAGGGCTATAATTTCCGCTTTTTCCTCGCGAGGAATCACGAAAGTCGGCGCCGCGATTGGACGGCGCTTGAATTGGCGACGAGGCGTCGGGAGGCGAATCGCGGCCGAGCGAGGGCGAAATATTCTATCGCGCGAAACGGAGACGAAAAATTTGGCAACACTGCCGCGACAGACCCGAAAGTTCGCGTCGGAACGGCCGCTTCGCGAAAACAAGACCCACGCGAAAACCGAGCGGCGGGCTTCACGTGGTGCCAATTGAAGGTCCGGCCGCGCCCGGGGCGGCCGCCCGCGGGCCCCACCAGTGTTGCCAAATCCTGTCGCGAAATTTTCCCTCCTCAAATCGCTCTCGCCGCTTTGGAATCCAAAAACGAGGAGGAACGAACCGACTCGCCCTCGAGCCGACCGCCAATCGAAAGCCAATTGAAGTTGGCAATCGAAATTGGCAATGGAAAGGGTCCTCGACGGAACCCGCGGATCCGACAACCCTGCCCCGTCCACTTCCCGATCACTCATTCCTTTTCCCTCCGTCCGCCCACTCGTCGGCGCGGATGGGTGTTGCCCCCACAATATTCATGAAGGAGCTCAGTCTGAGGCAGACACTCCCAGCGAGAGGTGCGTCCGCCCGTTCGGCACGGAAATCGGCACGGAATTCGGCACGGAAATCGGCCAGGCAGGAATGGCGACGGTTCGGTTGCGGAAGAACAGCGGGCCGTCGGTGATCATCGAGGAGATTCCGGTCACTCCGACGCCCGGCGCCGAGCTTCAGGTTCGTTCA